ACCCCGGCCACCCATGTAAACCATACGTCTCCGATCCCGGAGTCCCCGGCAGGAAGTGGTTAATTGACAAAGTTTGTTTCTTCAGAAACTTGACAAACTCCTGGAGGTACGCAAGGGCACATTCCTGGTTTTGCGTCGACACATCGCCTTACGCACCAAACACTACTTCATCATGACTCTATCCAAAAGAGGCTACAATGGCAAGATAACCTTCAACCATCGAGAAGCAGAGCTCCACTTGACTGTAAGATATGCAGCCTCTAAAGTCTACTCCATCTGTTTGCTTTTTGTAAATGACCTTGAGAAAACAGCCATTTCCAATTGTGAGCCAGCCTAACAAAATGAGTCAAAGGTAATACCTGAGCCACTTTTTTGAGTTAAATGCTGTAAAACGAATCTTGCACCATTAAACTTAGACTGAACCCCCATCATGTCACACCCACATAGTTTCCATTATCATCAAGATGCCAGACAGAGTGATAGGCCAGAAGGAAAAGCTCAGTTTGCTCTTTCTGATCCACACTGGAACAAAATCAAACGGTTGCTCTCGGTTGATTTTTAGTGAATTCTCATCACGTGTTTGGTACAACCATTGCGTGATGCGAGGCCATTGTAAGTTTTTTATGATAGCTATTATTTCTTTTATTTACAGTACATGTGTACACGCACGTGTGCTGAGTGCTGGTGCTGCATAACTCGTTATCCATTTTTCGTTGTGTTTGCTTTTTATCAAGTTTTCTTGTGTGCATTTCGTGCATTAGCAATGCCATGCCATATTAAAGCCGAACATCCAAGCTGACCAGTTTGGTTCAGTTTGGTTTGGTTTGGTTCTAAAGTGCCATGCATGATGATTTTTGGTTCAGTTTGGCAGTTCAGCTGCAGCACTAGCTCGGCACCAGCTCAGCTCTAGCTCAGTGTTCACAACTGTTCATAATGTGCCACTGACTTTCTTTGTGAAAAGAGTCCATGTTTATTGCTGGAAATACAGAGTGTTGTAAAGTGATGCTAATATTTGTGTAGGCCGGCTGGTTTGCCTGACTCTAACCTTGTGCATGCTGCCAAGTAAAAGATCATAGGGCATGTCATCCCATTATTTAAAAAGTTTCATCTCTCAAGGTGACTTCAGTCAAGATGGCCAAAGGCATTCTTCTTATATCCTGAAAAACACACAATTCGCTCATGTATGCAAGCACCATGAAGGTGTCATGTGTTCTTTTGGATGCACATATCTTGCATTCCAAACACGTTTGAAAGTACCTAGTTGGGAGTCCCTATGCATATCACTAGGCAAACGGCCAACCACAACTCTTTCATCTCACTGTAACCATCATGCAACACTGAAAATTATAACTTTATTGTATTACATGTTTGATGTTTACAGCTAACCAAAGTAGACATAGTTTTCTTTTTCACATGACAAGTCTTTGCTGTGTGACCAAAACGTATGTTTTTCTAAACCTTTGGAGCATAGCCTACATTTTAGTGCAACTATGTATTCTGGTAAAGTGGAGTTTTAGAACCATCTGGTTGATGTTGAGTTGCTCCATTTGGTACAACTAGGGACTTGATGACATTGATGTCTTCTCCACTGGTTGCCTCCCATCAGGTCCAGCCTACTCAAGGAGATGGTATGGGCTCTCAAGACATGAAATCTCTTTCCGGAGGAGAGCGCTCTTTTTCCACTGTGTGTTTCATCATGGCTTTGTGGGAGAGCATGGAGACGCCCTTCAGGGCCTTGGATGAGTTTGACGTCTTCATGGTAAGTACAGCAGGTATTAGTGCACTATCAAGTGTAAGGTACCCAGTAAAAGCGGACTGTTTGCAGCTTCCCCAGAAAACAACTGACAACATTATTGTACAGATCTAACTTTGTTGGAAGATCATAATGATACAAGTCCCTGTAACTTGTGGGTGTCGCCAATATTTTTGGGGGGGTGATGGGGAAAAGAAAGCACTTACGAGTAGTAAACTGACAAATGGTGGAATGGAATCACTTCCGAGGTATTTGGTGGTTTTTGTTTCGTTCCTTTCTTTTTGTGGATTTTATGTGTTTCATTTTGAGGAAAAAATATTTGAAGTGACAGAAAATTCTGCGAAGAATGCGTATAATTCAAATAATAAAACAACAGTTTGTACCTGAGAGAGCTAGCAGTTGTCTCTGTAAGGTTGGAATAGCACAGACAATGTCCTGCTCATCGCACCTTGATACATTTGTGTTTTTTAGTCTGTTCTGTATGCACATGTCTCCTTCACGTTTCACTCGTACCTGTTAACCACTTCCTGCCGGGGAATCCGGGATCGGAGACGTATGGTTTATATTGGTGGCCGGGGTCTCCGAACTCGGACAAAGGAAACAACACCCTGTAACAAAAGACCGTACTCCGAACAAAAGACCAGGCTGCTGGGCATTACCGACATTTTTCACTCTCAAAAGTGGTGATAATCCAGCCTTCTTTTGAAACTGTATACCAGGGTTTGGGGCATTGAGAGCGAGCGGATTACCACTGGGGACAAAAGCGTTCCATCACCGCAGCGATGAGCTACACAGCACCGTTGCATGCTAATCTGGCCCCTATTGAAAAGAGGTCAGCAGTGCACTAAGCCAGGTTCGTGAACAAAAGACAGCTGTATAACACCGCACAATCTAGGCTCTGTTTACAAGGCTGCTGGCCTCACTGAAATACTCGGGCGTCAATGAAGGTTACCTGTCAACTTAGAGTAGTGTCTAAAGATTACTTGGTGCGACTATAAACGACCATTAAATGAAATGATGAATTTTTGAAGGATTTTGAACACGGAATAAATGATAGTCATGCCGGCCCAGCATCATCAACACTGAAAAATGCCCCGGCATGAAGTCGTTAATGGACACTCTCCGTTACTTTTGCACACTGACTTGCAACAAAATGCATCTATGGAAAGGCCCCTGAAGGTACTGTATAGTGTGATATCCCAGGTTGTGCGTGAAGTACAAAGTTCCTCCTTTGAATTTGAATTAAGGATATGGTGAACCGACGAATCAGCATGGATCTGATGCTAGCAGTTGCTAAGGAACAGCGAATGAGGCAGTTCATCTTCCTGACACCCCTGGATATGAGGTACGTTTGTGTGCATTGTCATTCCATGACTTATCCCGTGATCTTGACACATATATGCAGTGCACCACTTTGAATCCACATGAATTGTATAGTGCTGAATAGTTTTACCGAAGGGATTCTGTATGTACCTTTGGAATAGCACAATATATACGGTGCAAAATGGACCATTATATCTGAGTGTATATAGAGTATCGAAGGAATAGGTCACATGCACAATTGTGTGTGTAAACAAACATTACCATGAGAACCAGCATGTGAACCAACACTCGCGCATACTCCATTCATTTGCACTACACTTCCTGGTCAAATGACGTAATGCTTCACTACTCTATAGCACAGTCTGCAGTTGTAGATCAACCAATCAGGATCAAGGATTCAAGCTTACTTGGAGATAATATCTAACATTCCTCCCGCATTTCATAGGCAGACTGGATCTCCAAACGACTATGGAGATTAATTTCTTTTCCACAAATGAGCAAGTATAAAAAAGTAAAAATAATGAAGAAAACCTTTCCAAGACTGTATTCAATACTGAGTCTTAAAAACTAATTCCTTTAATATCAACATTAAAATTCTCCTGTGGATCTTACTTTTAATTTCAACGACGTACAATTACCAAAGGGCAGTGTAGTGAATGTCACAGTGAAGCAATTTTTCAGCTAAGATTGTTTCAGTATACCTGTTATGTCAGTATTTACAAAGACCATGTTTGACACAAGGGCATAATTTGCTACACTGTGACTTTATGCACTCATTGTAGATTTACTGAAGATTGTGTGTGAATTAACTTCAATTCAGAATGACAGTTTTATGAATAATGTTTCGTCATTTCCTATGACAAATATTTGATCTGCCTTTGTGTGTGCTTTTATGCCAAGTATTAAGCGGCCTTCGCAAGTAACAGGTTGAACAGTGACAAAGGAATGCTTTTGTTGCAGTTCATTTGAATAGCTTGTGACATGAATTCAGACTAGAGGGTCTTGTGTTGACCTTGTGATGGCCTTATGGGGTCTTGAGGTGGTCTTGTGATGGCCTTATGGGGTCTTGAGGTGGTCTTGTGATGGCCTTATGGGGTCTTGAGGTGGTCTTGTGATGGCCTTATGGGGTCTTGAGGTGGTCTTGTGATGGCCTTATGGGGTCTTGAGGTGGTCTTAAGAGGTCTTGACTACAACATTGTCTGTTGGCAATGAAATGCTCTGTATGACTACGTACCGTTTTATTATTACATCAGACCAGAGCTGTACACAGTGAGAGTAGTGCCAATTTCACCAAAATGGCACCAAAATGGCTGTGCATTACGTTGTGCAGTACAGCATGCAGCTATTGTGTGCTGATTGTCCATGTGCACTGACACATAATCCACCATCTTGGGTCCAGCAATTTAGATACTCATGTTGCAGATACCGTGCACGATATGTGGGCCGATGGGTACCCCCCCACATGTCCAATCCTTATACACGCTTCTAAAGTATTGTTACCTAACACATGCCCCCTAGAAGTCTGTAAAGAATTCCTGAGATTCTGATCAAACAGTGACCAACACAAAGGCAGGGGGGGTTTCTCTTCGCCCCATATCTTGTATCATATGATGTTGCAACTCTCTCTTTAAACAGCTGTGCGTCTGACAGTGGGCGAAATCATTGTATGACGTTGTCTTTTGTTGTGCATTGAACTCTGCAGCAAAATTACCGCCAGTCACCTGTTGCGGATCTCACGGATGCCAGACCCCAACACTGGCAACCAGAGTGTCTTGAACTTTGAGCCCGTCAACCGCAGAAATGATGGGGACGAGGACTGAGCCTTTGAAGATATTAGGGGTACAGAGATGAGAAAATGCCTTCAAGGTTTGCATCTTATGTTCTACACGCCACTGAGGATCATCGAAGTATTTTTATGAGGAAGCTGTACCACATTTGATGTACCTGTAGAATTTTGTAATTTAGGAAAAAACTAAAATTTGTATTGTTTTTAGTTACTGTAACATATTTTGCAGCACAGACGATAGGCTTGTTGGAGTAAATGTATGAATTGCATTGCCCAAATGTGGTGCAAGTAACTTAAATCCTATTCATTACATCACTCACTTAATGATAAGAAACTGATTATGTTTAGAGTTTTGTTTCAATTAAGGCATTTACATATATTTTGACAATACTGGGGCCAGGTCTCCAAAATCGAACAAAGAGAACTGGGCCTTGTAACAAAAGACCATAGTCGTCACAAAAGACCAGGCTGCTGGGTATTACCAGCATTTTT